GACAGCACAGTGTGGTGACCCACAGCAGGGAAAGGGTCAGGAAGGATTTTAAAGTCATATTTACCCTGAAGAAGCTCCGTGTCAGTGGGTTCTGTCTTCATAACTTCGAGCACCAATATATGAACTTTCAATAGGACACTGGTCACCGAAAATGATTTTAATTTTTTAACCAATATACCACTAAGTAGTACAGTCCTTTTCTACTTACAAAGATAAAGGTAAATGATTACTATTGGTTTTTATCTAGCTGATGCCAAAAATGCAAGCCAGTTTGGTTTGGCTCTTGCTTTACGTTCTTAATTTTGGTTTCAAGTAATTACCATAGAAGAGGTACATTTCTTTAACTGCTGCTTGTGTGATACGAACAGCTGGTGGGGAATACAGCAGAAATCCAGGAATGCTAACCTTATCATCAATAGAATAAATAATTGGGGCCGGGGATTTGGCTCAGTGGTTTCGTCGCCTGCTGCGCAAGTGAAAGGACCCAAGTTCAATCCCTAGTACCAAAAAAAAAAAAAAATAGAATAAGTAATTTCTTTGTTTGATATATGTGGTTATCATAACAAGTAACAGAGGTTATCATCTATTATAAAAAGCCGCAACCTTCTTAATAAAAGAGTATTCATTGTTCTGATAGCAGTAACGTTGTCATAGAAATTAAAGATGAGTAACATGTATTTATCTTTCAGCACTTTAAATGATTTTTACCTTCAGCTTGTTAGCCGATGAGTATTTTTATATTTCATGGTTCTGTCTACTTCCTGTGTTAAATATAGAGCTGGATGATGCATGGTAATATAAGACCAGGCCCTCTCTGGCATATATTAAATTATGTGCATCATTTAGCTAAATGTAAATTATGTTGTGAGTGCTTCCTAAGTAAATAATTTCCATTATTTATCAGATTCAGCCATTAGATGATTCTAAAAATACTCACCGTGTTCTCAGTGGCGTGTTTTTTTTCAGGAGTTGGTTGTTTGGGTACCAAATTACAATCAAGAATGAAATGCTTCACAATTTCACAGTACATTGTATCAGAGGTTGTCAAGTAGCTTTGAATATCAGTGATAGTTCTCCCTGCGCTGAGACTGAAACTGGCCTAAGGAAAGTAAAATTTGAGATTTGAGTCCTTTTTTTTTTTTTTGGTACTGGGGATTGAACTCGGGTTCTTGCGCTTGCACAGCAGGCAGCGAGACCACTAAGCTAAATCCCCAGCCCCAGTCCTTTCTAATAATGAAGACAGTCTTGAAAGCTTTCTGTTTGATGTTTCTCTCCACTGATTTCTTATTTCAAAGTCTGATAGCCTGTATTTAACTTCTTATTTATTTCTTTTAGTTTTATGTGGCATAATTGATCCATCATTATAAATGGGAAGCCCTTAAGAATATACCTTGTCTCGGTTAGTTTCCAGGCAAAAATAACCTTCAAACTAGCCTATTACCCACAATATTTCAGATTTCAGGCTTGCAGCATCCCTAGCATGGTGTTATTGAAGATTTCCCATATATTGTTTCTCTAAATTTAAAATAACTCTAAATCAGTTAGCACTTGTACATCAGATTTTCCTGGCTTTAGCCATTTTTGTGTTTTTCTTTGAACTCTCGTAATGCATCAGAACTTCTATTTATCTTTAAACAACTGGGTATCTTGGCAGGCTTGGCCCATGAGGAAGGGATGCAGAGAACAGCTCAGGGCTTCTTAACCTGACTATAATGTTGTCACCCAGCCATTTTAACTTTAAAATATAGCCGTGAAGAATGATGTCTTTGAGGCGTTTTGGCAGCCCGATAGATTCTGTTAGAAAATAGAAACCTTCTGAGCCTCGCCCTTAACAATATCTGATTTTGATGTACTCACTTACTTTCTCAGAATTACAATTCTTTCTTTTATGATGAAAGAAAAACACCACCTGCTATAGCTGAGTGGTGAGAGAAATTCAGATAGATTTTATTAGAAAAGAAATATATTGTCCAAGAAAAAGTACTGCAGAGAACAAAGATCATGCTAATATTGTCATATATATGGGATAAAGCATGCCTGCATTATCTGTTTCTAGGTGCTTTATTATTAAACTTGTCTTCTGACCAGGGAAAATGACTTCAGTGCCTCCTGAGTCCCTATGCCTTTCTGAACCACGGCTTCCTCTATAAATTGAGTTATGGAATTAATTCCATTTCACTTGCTAATAAAAGCTAACTCCTTAAGGCTCTTGCTGAAGTCAGCTGTGAAGAATTCTGGCAAAATGGTTGCTGCTTGCCTTTTGCTAGAATTTAATTAGCTTAGCGGATCGGAGGTACTCAATGTCTTGCTGATTTCTTTCCTTTCTAAAAGGACATTTTATAAAATAGACAATATAGTGGCTAGTTGGTGCTGGCATCAGTATCTTGAAAACGGAAGGTCTTTGTATGTCTGTTAAACTATTACGAGTCTTTGGTCTAAAGACACTGCTGTACTCCCTACTTCCCTCCAAACAGACAAACCAACCACACAACGCTTTGAGATGGGTTCTCTGTTGACCACATGTCACAGATGAGGCAGCGGCAGGGAAGCTATTACACTGACTATGGTTTGACTCTGCAGCGCCACTGAACGCCCTGTGTGGAAGGCTTGGTCCTCAGCCCAGCAGCGTTGGGAGGTGGCAGTAGCCTCTGGAGGCCTGGCCTAGAGGAAGGAAGTTAGCTGGCTGGGCACCCATGAGGGAATATCTGGAGCCAGCCGTCCCTCCCTCTTTTGCTGCCCAGCTGCTGAGGTGAGCAGCTTTTCTTTGTGCCCTGCTCCTGCCCTGCTCTGCTGACCTCCCACAAGCCCAGAGCAACAGGGCCAACTGACCATGGTTGAAAACCATGAGCCAAAAGTACATACAAACTGATTTCCTCCATACGAACTGATTTATCCCCAGGTCTTTTGTCCCAGTGACAAAAAGCTGACTAACACAGCTGGACAGTGTTTGAAGCAGGACTTGAACTCACATTCTGATTGTTCCTCAGTCTTATGGGCTGCTGTTTCTCTTGCCATATCCTACTCTCATGACTTCTTTTACTGAACTCTGCATGGAGAGCATTTATGTGGTCAACTCTGCCCTTCTTGACACTCCATCCCCTTGCATTTGTGACAGTTGCTTATTGAGTGAGCACTGCTTATGTTAGGCATTGTTCTAGGCTCTGGAAGTAGTTCAGGGACTAAGAATCAGACAAATCTTCGCCTTGTGCAGCTTGCATCATACTGGCCAAGGCAGAAAAGGACAATAAAAATACTAGTAATAAATAAGTAAATTACACAGCACAGTGGAAGACAGTGGGTACTATGAAAAAGTATGCCAGTGGGCCGGGGATTTAGCTCAGTGGTTCCTCCGCCTGCCTCATGAGCACAAGGTCCCGAGTCTGATCGCAGGTACCAAAAACAAAACAAAGTATGCCTAAGTATGAAGAGGTGAGAGTGGAGAGGACCTGGAGAACCTCCAGCATAAATGGGTGGTCTGGGGAGGCTCTATGAAGAAAGAAGTGTTTGAGCCAGGAATTGAAGGTGCGATGCACCATGAGGGCCTTTGGGGAGGAACAGGCTGCAGGCGATGCAGAAACTTTGAGGTGAGCTCCTACCTGTCGGGTCCAAGGAGTAGCAAGGAGGCCTGGGAGGCAGAGAGGGGCGAGCGAGGTGGAAGACCAAGTCCAGCAGTGGGCAGAACAGCGCTTCGTGGTCTGCATGGGGAATCAGGCTCTTCCTTTGGCAGAAATAGGCACCCTTTGAGCAGAGAAGTGAACTGACCTGGTGCGTTGTTCTAGGATCACCCTGGCTGTCGAGGAGGCAGTGGTAGGAAAATAGTCAGGAGCAGCCGCCCTAGTCCAGGGGACCACAGACATGAGGGCGTCCGGAGAGAGGTAGCAGTGAGTGGCTAGAATCGGTATGTTGTGGAGGCAGAACCAGTACAGTTTGGACGTGGATTGAGAGAAAGCGGGGATGAAGGGTAACCCCAAGGCGTTTAGGCTGGGTTATCAGAATACAGGCACTGTTCACTGAGGCGGGAAGGGCTGTGAGTGGAGAGTTAAGATCAGGATTCCGATTTTGAACATAGAACAAAAGCATATTTAATATACCACCAAAAAGAGCACCTGAAATATCCAACAGTATAGCATTGGGTGGATAAGTTATTATACTTGCATACACTAGAGTACTATGGGGACAAAAGCAATCTGCACTTCTGTACATTGTTTACTGATGGATTTACTGAAAAAATAAAGCTGTCTATCAGATACTCAAGAAACAGCCTTAATCACACAAATTGCATAGAAAAAGTGAAAACAGCAAAATCCTGTGTTCTTGTATCACTAAAACATTTCTATAATGAGTTTTTGTCAGTAAAAAGGGAAACTGGATTGTAATTAGCTTCATCTCAAGTTTTAGCTTCGTCTCAGCATTTTGGTTCTCTGAGGCTGATGCTGGGCCATTATGTAGTGCAGGAGAGATGGAGATGTGATTTCCCATGACTGGGGAAACTGTGGAGATACCACAGCATCTCACTGTAATTTGTGAGCAATCAGCTGTTTCCAATTTGAATAATCTTTGTTTTTCAGATGATGTTTACACAAGGAGCTTAAAAATTGTGTCCATCTTATCAGAACCTTTTCCTCTCTATAAAATGTTTTAAAATCCATGTCATATTTTAAAAGTTCATCTATTTTTCCATTGTAATTATAGATGGTAACTCTGCCCTTGGTGTCTCAAATTTCATCACAACATGCTCACGTAGTTCTGAAGCCTAAAGTAATGAAGTCCCCAAAGCTGCCAATTTAAATCAGCACTCTTTAATTGATGGCTTTTACACTGCATGCTAGGCAGGGAGACTTGAAAAACAACCTCACAATTTTGTGATATCCAATTTCAAGTGCCACTAGGTAGTACTGCATGCCAAAATGTAAGATTAGGCTCTAAGAAAGGGAGGTAGATATGAACTCGATTCCTGGTTGGAATGATTGATTGATGTGATTTTGTTTTGTCATTTCTAGGGAGTGAAAAAGATAGACCCTGAGTGGTATGAAAAGTTTATCCAGCACAGATTTGGAGAAGAAACATTGTACCGCATAGATCTTTGTTCCATGGAGAAGAAAAAGCAAAGTGATGGTTATTATCACTGTGAGTCTTCAATCATGGTTGGTGAGTATTGTTTAAAATATTATTTCTTATTTTTTATTTCTTTGTTGTTGTTGTTGTTGTTGTTGTTTTTGGTACCAGGGATTGAACTCAGGACCTTCCGCTTTCGAGGCAGGCGGCGGAACCACTGAGCTAAATCCCTGGCCCTATTTTTTATTTCTTTAACATCACTTTATTTTGACCGATATTTAGGGTTAGTTGTGTTTTCTCGATGACATATTTTTCCAAATACTATGTTTTGGCAGTTATACATTGAAAATTTAGTAGGGCATTTTCCATATTTATATGTGTCTAGATTTTACTGCCTGTGGTCTTTGTACTTCTGTGCTTTACATATGATTGTAATGAAGTCCCAGCATGCCACTGTTCATTTCAGTTTAATTTTTTTCACGGTGGTTGAAGAAAGCGTTTTCTCCAAGGAAGGCCTTCACGGTCTTGCCATGACCACGCAAGGCTTTGTCACGTTTGCTGCTTTTAATTAGGAAGAGAGTGACTCGGGTCAGGGAGGGTCACTCTGAAAAGAGAACATGCAGGTGACCTGTGAAAACTGAAGACGTTGTTTTCTTCTGTAACAAAAATTACTTCACCCAGAAACAGGGCCGTTCTCATCTTCCGCGAACAGAATGTATTTCACAGGAGCCTGCTCTGATACGCTTCAAAAATACTACTCCAAGCCAAGTACTATTCTTGTAAAATTTTGAACTTCACCACAACCTGACTTAAATGCTTTTAAAGTAAAATGAAGATACCCAAAGAAGATAAATATATGTCTGTATATTTCAAGGTCTTCAGCCACGACAGTTTCTTTCCACACCAGCTCGGAGAGAACCTATGGATATGCAGTATATCCCTCCTCAAAGAATTTTAGCACTGAAGTTTATTAAAACATTTAAACATGTTCAGGAAATATAATTTTATTCTCATATCCTCATCACAGAGCCTCAAAGAAGTCCTCATTTTGTCTTCCAAACAGCTATCTTAAACAGAAGATATTCTGTATGTCATTTGAGTTTTATATCCTGAAAATTTCAAGTCTATTTTAAGGAGGATTTTCATGCTTTTGGAATCTGTGGAAGAGAGCTATCTTCCATCCAACTTTTGATGAGGACCAAACATTTCATTGCAAAAGGCAAATTCAGGTTCTTCTTGTAAAGTACAAAATTTGGCAAGCTTTCCTTATCTTCTCTGAAATTCCTTTAGACCAGTCTTGAAAGGAAACACGATGCCTCATCGCCTTTCCCACTCAAATTTAAGAGAAAAACCCCCAGAAATATGTGGATTTATGGAAGACCTTTCAGGGATTGGCATTATGCAGTGTACGGCATGTATTGCATAGGGGGCTCTGTTCCTACTCACCGCACAGCATGATGTTAGCTGCCTAGAAATTCCCCTTTGCATTTTTCTAGCTCAGTCTGTGTATTTCCTGTTAGTGTAGGTAATTTTTTCAGATCTTTCCTTCAGGCTTCTTATCTCTCTCACCCTTTTCTAATTTCAGGTAATTTTGTTCCTTTCAAACTCTACCAATTTTGTATCTTCATACCAGTGATTTAATATTTTTTAAAAATTGCCTGTTCAAAATACTCTTAACTTTTTCTGTCACATTTCATGATGTCAATATGAGCTTTAAAATGACATCTGCATCTAACATAATTTTTATGTTATAATTAATGAAGTTTAATAACATGCTAGATTTTTTTTGTGTGTGTGTGTTTGTTTTGCTAATGGATACTGATTTTCTCAATCTTACCTGACTATTATCTTAACAGAATATTTAGCAGGATTGGGGATACTTTCTTTGTGAGTTTCATTTCTTGATGAGACTTAATTGGTTTACATCAATTTGGCTTCTCTGATTTTATCCTAACTCAAATTTAATGTCTGTTTCCTGAGCCTTGAACCAATATTTTTTAATTGACACATAATGTCTGTGCATACTCATGGGCTACAGAGTGTTATTTCGATGCAGGTATCCAGTGTGTAACAACCAAATCATGGTAATGGGCACATCTATCATCTAAACCATTTATCACCTCTTTGTGTTGGGGACAATCAAAATCCTAGCTTCTAGCTATTTTGAAATCTACAATAAATTATTGTTAACTATAGTCACCCTACTTTGCACTAGATTGAGCCAGTATTTTATTATACTTATTAATAGAATCAAGACAAGATATTTTGTATTCAGAATTCTGGGGTAGAAATTGGGCTACTGGGGCCACAACTTTCTGAAATTGTTTATAAAACTTTTGGTGTATGCTAACTTGTTTCATTTCTACTACTAGTTCCTCTTAATTCATTGAAAAGAAAGTTTTGTGCTATTGCTTTTACCTGTTTGTTTCTTCTTTGTATGAGTCTTTTTTTGTCTATGTCTTGTGAGTAACTTCTTTTACTATTAGGATACACAGTGTACAGTGTATTAACTATTGTTATTCTCTTATTTTATTATGAATTGTTTTGTTGATTCATAGAAGAAGAGTGCTTTTACATATTTTCTTTATTAATAGCTACTTGGATTACATAAAATAAACAAAAACCACGTTGTATGTAGATACCTTTGTGAGTGTTTTGTGGAGAATTTAGCTTTCATCAGATCTGTGCATTTCCTCTCTTTATTTGTTAATGGTACATTCTGGGAGAGGGCTAGATTCCAAGTTGCTCGTTCTTTCTGCTTTCTCTATTAAACCACCTAGGGTATTTAAAAAAAATCAATGACTATATGCTTTTTTAAAAAAAGTTTCCAATCTGTTGTTTGTATTTTCCTGTTCTGGTCTTCACTTCAAGGAACTATTCCTTCATTGATGTTTTTTAGTATTTCCATATAATTACATTTTCAAGTTCTTCCCATACTTTTAAACATCTGTTGGGTATGAGTTCTCATGTATGTTTGGTCTTTTGTGGCACTTGGTTTCCTCCTGTACGCTTTGAGTTTTGTTCAGAGCTCATTTCATTGTGACCCGGATGCCCCTTGTGAGTTTGCAGTTGTCTTGGGCTCGCAGGGGGCTTTGCCTGAACCAGATAGGAACTGGCAACAGAAAATCATCCTCCTATAGGTCCTCAAACAAGAGGATTAACCCAGACATACAGTTACTAATATGAGTGCGAAGGAGGTATGTAGTTTTAGGAAGACAGTAATTTTTAGACTTTTTCTTATACCTCACAATTCTCTTACTGTGTATATTAGAGATCGGATATCAGCAACACTCCTTGCTGTATATGATTGGGACAGACTTTGTGCTTGTTATTTTTATAATTTGGATGACTTGCTCATCTTGGGGTGATTTTATGTAAATCTGGATTACTGCTGTCTCCCAAACAATTGAAGGGTGTGACCTCACCAGTCCCGAGTTCCTGGCACAGTGCTAGGATTTCCTGGATGGAGAAGCAGGCACCGACCTTGTCTGCAGCCCTTTTATCGTCTGTCTCCCTCCGTTGTCATACAAATCTGCTTAACTCCTGCACTACCTGCTCAGCTCTGAGCGCATCTGAGTGCGTGACACCATTCCCATGGTGGGCATCCTCCCTTCGTGTCCTGCTGTTCTACGCCTTCGCATCCACTGCTAGGGAACTTTGCTAAGATTGGAGGCAACATTCATTTTTTCAAAACTAAGAAAAGACTTAACATTTAGTTGTTTCATAATCAAAACTTGGGGTGATATGATGCCTACTTGATAGTGGGCTACAAATCCTTACACATCTAACTGCATTAATCAGCTAAAATTCAAATCCAGAAAGAAATGTAAAAATCCCAGTGCTTCCTGGAAAGCTAGGATATGGTCCAGATATTCTAGGGTCATGAAGGCTGTTCTCTCTGGAGTCCTTACTGTAGTTGAGTGAATTAATTGTTCCTCAGGCAGCCATGTTCCATTTATGTTTCCTTAGGGACCCTTGGTAAGATGGATGAACAATCTAGTCCTTCCAAGACAAATTTACTTTTAGCTGTCATACGTACCATTCACAAGGCAGTGGGGAATATCCATCCATCCATCCATTCATCCATCCATCCATAGCAGACCTGTGTGTTTCTTTCATAACTGTAAGCAGAGGTGGAAAGAGAATGATTTTCTGTGAACTCCAGTGTTTTTGGCTTAATACTCACTATTCAACATTACTGCATGTTATCAAGTTTGTACAATGTGCCTACTGCTCTCTTGGGTATTATGGGATACAGAGCAGAATAAGACAGAGTCCTTGTAGAGTCATTGGGCTGCTAAGACGACACCTGAGAATGGAGAGGGAGAAAGATAGAGGAATAGGCCTTGTCCAGAACAATATGGGCTTTGGTGGACACAGTAGAAGCCTATGATTTCCCTCCTAGTAGAATGGGGATGAGAGTAGCAGGATTCAGCTGAATTGTATGAGAAACAGACTGTACAGAGAGGTTTGCTAGACCAACAGGTATGGTTTACAGTGGAAGGGAAGCAGGCTGGAGGAAATGATAGTGATGGGAAACCCCTTGATTGGACTGACAGCCTTGACAGCTGAGGCAGCTGCAGAGTGGGAGGTTGCTAGGTTGCACTGATGAGCAGCTGGCAGAGAGATGGACAGCATTACACATACTGAGGCGATGGTGTATACTGGAGGAGACTGAGTAGATAGATACGGGCTAAAATGAAGTGAGTGTGCAAGAAGACAGGACCATATTGTAAAGATAAGACATGCTTTAGTTCTGCCTGTAGCAGAGGAGGCAGTGAGGAGGTTACAGAGCTGCTGATAGAATAGGACATGTGTCACAGGTAAGTCAGAGTCATCGCTGCTGTGGTCCTTGTCTTATGATGGGGTGGCATCTGCTGGACACATAGTAGGTTGAAACTATCATGAGTAGAAGACACGTTTAATATACCTAACCCAGGGAGCATCGTTATTCACCCTGGCCCCCCTGCAACATGCACTTTAGCCTAGAGTTGAGCAAAATCACCCTACAAAATCTATTTTGTAATACAGTGTTGAATATCTCACATAATTTCTTGAGTGTCCAAAAAGCACTTATAGCGCAGTCCTGTGTG